GTCCTGCACACACGCACTTAGGTCTTCTTAGGTTCCCTGCACACACGCACTTAGCTCTTCTTTGGTGTCCTGCACACACGCACTTAGGTCTTCTTTGGTGTCCTGCACAGACGTGCTTAGGTCTTCTTTGGTTCCCTGCACACACGCACTTAGGTCTTCTTTGGTTCCCTGCACACACGCACTTAGGTCTTCTTTGGTTCCCTGCACACATGCTCTTAGGTCTTCTTAGGTTCCCTGCACACACACACTTCAGTCTTCTTTGGTGTCCTGCACAGACGTGCTTATGGCGGCTTTGGTTCCCTGCACACACACACTTCAGTCTTCTTTAGTGTCCTGCACAGACGTGCTTATGGTGTCTTTGGTTCCCTGCACACACGCTCTTAGGTCTTCTTTGGTTCCCTGCACACACGCACTTAGGTCTTCTTTGGTTCCCTGCACACATGCTCTTAGGTCTTCTTGCTGTCCCGCACACATGCACTTAAGTCTTCTTTGGTGTCTTGCACACATGTACTTATATCTTCTTTAGTTTCCTGCACACATTTGAAAACTTATATCCATAGCAGTCTCACACATTTTGTTTGGATTTACTTTTTGTGACTTGGCATTTTTAGTATCATGTTTCCTAATTGTTAGTGGTACAGAAATACCATTTATCTGAGTACTGGGCGTACATAACTAAGCTCTTCTATGATCCAAAAGAGTCCTGTTAAGCAACTCAGGGTTTTCTACGCAGCACTGCTTCATGTGTTTACTCAGGGACGTTCCTCATGCTTTTCCTTTCCTTCATGCTGGTGGTTCTTGGTTTTCTGATTATATTTGTTAACAAAGACCAGGCAGATGAGTGCAGAAACACGTATGGGTTTCCCTGCAGTTACATAAATCTTAAGGTCTATTTCCTGAGTGGATGGGCTGTCAGAGGTTCCATGTAAGCGAAAGACATGCTAACATGTGACACTCCATGTTGTTTAGGAAGTCCCTGTCCAGGCTGAGCCTGCAGTTACCCCATGGCTGTCGGCTTCTCCAGGCCTGCAAGGAAGGACCTGATAGGCTGTCTCATGAGCTGTCCTTCAACTCATGTGCTCAGAGACTGCACCTGGCTCAAACCACACAATGCCACCGCCAAATGCTGTGTTTTTTGGAAAGCTTCCTATATCTGTGTAGAGTCTTATTTTGAGTTTTGGCACTTTCCTGTTATCTACTGTTGCTGTAGGTCTAGTCTTTGAAAGTACTTCTAGTCTGTTCAGTGACGCTGGGGAGGGAAAATTCTAATGCTTTTTCTCTCTCTCTCTTCTTAAACCAGAAGTCCCTAAAATTTTTTTTTTTTTTTTTTAAGTATCTAGATTTATGTATTGGCCTTACTTGAGCAAGTTGCCCAACCTCCTCCCAAAGATAAGTCCGAACAAAACCAAAACATCCATTAACTGGATTTCTATCGGGATCTCTCAGAACATGACTCTCCTCTTCAGGACCAGTGGGTTTCTCCATCCACTGGTCTTAGCTTGCACTTCTTGGTAGTGTCTGGTCATTTTCTTCCTACATGCCTTACACATTCTACAGGCTGACGCTTCGCTATCCTGGAGGTACTTAAGTGACTATGAATGAGCCTATCTTCCCCTTGTGTGTAACATGTAAAGGGGGTTGTTTTGTTACCTTACTCTGACTCACTGCTTTCCTTAATTCATAGTTGTAGTAGGTATCCGTTGATTTCCTTGGTTGACTACTGAACCTGAAAATCTCTGTTTCTTTTTTTTATCATATCTCGTTTCAATTTCTTGTCTTATTGCAATGGCTAGCGCTTCCATAATGTTAACAGTGCTATCAGCAGGCTTCTTAATGACTTATTAAGAATTATATTATATAATATTATATTTTATATAATAATTATAATAATATAATTATTATTTTCTTATTGAGGATTTTTCTAATATTTTATTCTTAAAAATGAGGGTGACTTTTGTTTCAGACATATTTTCTTTATCATGTTAAATAAGGATTCTTTCATTTACAGTTCACTGAGAATTTTTAAGAATTTAAATACTGAATCAATAAGTCAAGGAGTGATTTTAACTCTCACAGATATCTTTTGTCCTGGCTTTGATTTGTGGGTCTTTTATTTGGTATGTTAAAACTGACAAGAGTTCTATGAGGAAAAACAAACAAAATGAAACTGAACAGCATCTTGGACATGGGGCCTTAGTGTGGGGTAAATATTTTGTAGTAAAGCTCATTAAGAGGTTATCATCAAAATACCAATTTCACAAAACTTATTCATTCTTATTGCCTTGTAAGCACTGACAAGTTTCATTCCATAATGAACAAACATGCAATTTTTGCTCTTAAGATGCCACTAGAGAGGTGTTATAAGACGGTAGAAGATTCAAAGTGACAGAAATACATAAGGTCAACCTCCCAGACTCTAACATCTTGCTAACTGGGACGACATCACATATAGTAGAAGATGAAGATGAGGCTGAGCAGAAGTTTCCACGAGTCTGAAAAGGTCTAAATGTGAATTTCACATTCTGTGCTATTCCACATGTGCACCCATACACGGGGATAGGTAAATAGCATGAGGATTTTTGATGCAATGCTGAGCAGCTTAAGAAAAGGTGAACAGACTGTCAGCAGTACCTGTCTTGTCTGTCAGTAAGTACACCAAGCGCCCCAGCTCCTCAGGGATGGTACTGGTGCGGACGACTGTCCCGGGGATGTCCTCATCTCTCATGATCATCCACCCGTAGGCTGCTTTGCCCATGTCCAAGTTCACTCGTAAGCTGTCAAATAAAACATATCACAGCATTTAGAGGTATCCAAGACCATACAATGTTTTTCCACATACATGTCTTTAGTTATAGGAACTGTCTTTAACTTTATATTGAGATGGAAACATAACTGGGTTTTAGACTTTAAGTGAGTTTGTGGACATTTAAGTCAACAAATGGTCTACACCCCACATAATGCTCAGAGGTGAAAGTAAAATAGGTAACTCATAGGCCGGGCTCAATCAGTTTATAATTCTAGACAGGACCGAAAAAGGAAGGATGTTCTAAGTGTCATCGTTTAGGAACGAAGTTCTGTAGGTGCTCACAGAAGAGCACTCCCACATGTCTGTGAAAAGCAGATGGTGCTGTCCTGGGAACAGATACTGAAGTGAGTGCTGATGCACACCACGTTCTGAACAGGATGCTCCTGTGTGATGCCATGGCTGCCAGGGTGTAAGCCGACTTCCAGGATGAAGACTGATCGGGGGACAGGGAGCTCTTGAGGGCAGGCGTGCTGTCTGAGAGCAGACAGGCAGACGGGGTGGGCTTAGGACACCACAGAGGACGGGCCTCCCCGCAATGCCAGGCTCTGAATACTGTTTGAAGATGTACTGTTTTCTCAGTAATTTGGTTTAAAATAAGAACCAAGACTTCCGGGCATCCATTCACTCACATGAGGACCTGCCCACCCAGTCTCAGCCCCTGTAGCTCATCCTGGAGCTCCCAGCAGATCAAGACTGACTCCACCTGCCTCCCAGCTCACAAGTACATAGTCCATTCCATCCGGCACAGAGTCACAGCAGCATGTGGAGCAGAGACAGTGGGCGCGGGGAGGCACGGAGGGTGCATGCTGGTGGGGAGGGTGCATGGGGAAGCATATGCTGGGGGTGTGTGGGAGCAGAGCTCCAGCCTCTGGGGTGTGCCCTGGGGCTCCAGGCAGATCAAGACCCTCAGCTCCTTCACTTGGGAGGCAGCTGGCCTAGCTCCCAGCTCGACAGTTTCCACACCAGTGTGCTGAAATAGCTCAGAGTCTCTGCAGGCCTACATAAGGCTGAAGACACCAGAATTCTACAATTACACTGTATACTAGCATTTCACAGCAGCCACACAGACGTGCTCCAACAATCACACATGGACCAAGCACTATGTTGCCAGTTAGTCATTTCTGTTACTTCTAAGCATCCCATGTGCAGAGATAATGCGACCCTGGCAGGTCTGCAGACAAGCTGTTCTCCTCCTCGTGAGTGAGTTGTAGGAAGAGGGAGGTGACAGACAGCATTCCCACCTCATCCTGCCTTGAAGGAGAGTGTGCCACGGAGTCCAGGGCCCAGCAGGCGGCCTTCACTCTGGGCCCTGACCAGCGGCCACCAGGGCACCTTCCACCAGCCCTGGCACTGACAGTGCCTTCTTCTCTGACAGCCCACTTTCTCTAGTATCGGGCCAAGGTCTCTGCTCCCCAGACGCTTTTCTACCACCTAGCATGCACTCATTCCCTTGCCATCATTCCTTCTCCAGCCCAACATTCAGGACCATGAGAAAAGCCACTTGCTGCTCTGACCCTTGCCTCTCTCGTCCCTGGTTCCTCATTCATTTAATAAAAGCCCAACTGCTGTGAACCAACCATCTACTGACTCTGCCTGGGACTCAGGTCTCTGCTTAAATTTTCATAGAACTATTAAATGGATACCACTAGCAATCCTACTGCAAGGCACTCCTCGCACGTCCAACAGCCTTCCTCACCTGGCCTGCTGACACTCAGCAGCCCTGCTGGGGCCTGGGGAGATCAACTCCCAGGGCCACATGGGACCAGCATGGGGCCAGAAGCGTTGGGAAGGACGAGGACCAGAACCAGCATGGGAGGAGTGGTCAACATTCCAAGAGCCCTGCAGCATCCCGGTCTCCTTGCTCACACCTGCATCACCCTCTGGACTGATGGGAGGGAGGGCCCTTGGGCTCAGTGCCGAGCTGACCACTTATCCACTGTAATGCTCTACGGTCCAGGTCCTTCTTCATTCCATTCTCTAAAGTAAGCGACGTATGATTAACAAGTGCATTCTAAGGCTCCCCATCAGTGTAAAAGGGAAATACAGGATCATGTGTTATACCCTTGAGGTGGACAAGACCCTGTGAAATCTGACACAGGAGGGAGAAGATGGATACCATTCATTACGTTAACACTAAGACCCTGTACTCCAGAAAGATCCTAAGAGGCAAGTCATAGACAGGAGAAAACATTTTCAGTCTGTGACACACAAGCCAAAACCCAGACCCACTGCCATCCAATCCATTACTATTCACAGTGATGCCAAATAGGTTCCCAAGGCTGTGCATTCTATATGGAAATAGACTGCCTCATCTCCCTCCCATGGAGCTGCTGGTGGGTTTCAACCACTGACCTTCTGGTTAGCAGCCAGCTGCATTCCCACCACTCTACCAAAGCTCCTTACAATATATACAAAGGGTTAACTGTGACCTGTCGCCACTGAGTGGATTCCAACTTACAGCGACTCTACAGCACAGAGTTGAACTGCCCACAGTATTTCCAAGGGTGCAGTCTTCACAGAAACAGACTGCTTCATCTTCCTACCATGGAGTGGCTACTCAGAACTGTCGACCTTTCAGTTAATAGACGAGTGTTTAACCACTGCGCAGTCAGGGTCCTTCATACAAAGGGCTACTTCCCAAAATACACTAAAGAAGTCTGACAAGTCACTAAGAAAAGGTCAAATGACCTACAAAAAACTGACCTAAGGTAAATCATAGAGAGGCATTTCCCACTAACCAATGACACTTGAGTAGACATGTGACTCCTCCACTAACTCAAGTAAGATGCCACTTGATTCTTCTACCCTCAAAGATTGGCAATAATGAAAAGGCTAGTAAGCATCAGCCATGAGTGAGAATGTGGGGAAACAGCAGCATGCCTTTAGAAGAAGGGGGCAACACGCAGACGTGTGCGGCTGTCCTGACTCCCACAACCTGGCTGCCAAGAGTGTGCACAGGAAGCGGTGTGAGCACACGAGTAGCACTGACTACCCGCCAGCAACAGAGTGAGTGTCCCAACTGCCCATTGCCTGGTGCAGTTAACACGTAACCAAGGAAAAAGCAAGTGGCAAGTAGAGTTCGTGACCTTTCAACATCCACAAACATTTGATACTGTCTGGTCTACACACAGGCCACAAGGCTGCACTACCTCCAGTAAAGAGGACACACGCATGTCAGGAAAGCGGTGTGGAGGACAGGGCAGGCCTACGACGTGCTGAGATGATCTGATGCAAACGTTGAGTGTGGTTGATTACAACACAACAGTATTCGTCAGGAGCCTACAGTCTTCTAACTGGTTTTACAAGGTTCACAACTTAACAATCATATGCTGGGTCGTCTATCTTTGTGGTCATTTTCGCTACAACCCTGGAAAGCAGGGCTTAAAAGTCAGGGCCCGTGGGAATCCTCCAGGTCTGGACACTCAAACGCCTTCAGGGTCTGACACCGCTTGCAACAATTTGCCAGAGCATAGCTCCGAGGCCGCAGCTCAGTGTTTTCTTGTGCCTAGCTTCATTCTACCACATAAGCATTGCTGTTAGGTACTGCTGAGTTGGTTCTGACTCAGTGACCCTGTGTACAACAGAACAAAATACTACCCAGTCCCGTGCCAGACTCACAACCCTTGCTATACCTGAGCCAATCGTTACAGCCACTGTATCAGTCCATCTTGTTGAGGGTCTTCCCCATTTTCACTAACCCTCTACTTTATAAAGATACCATGGTATCCTTCTCCAGGGACTGGTCCCCTCTGGTAATGTGACCACCTCCCTTCCAAGGAGCATTCTGGCCTGTGGATCAAGACAGACTTGTTTGTTCTCCTGGCTATTCCTTGCCAACACCACAATTCAAATATATCAACTCTTCTTCGGTTTTCTTTACTCAATGCCCAGCTCTCATATACATAGGAAGCTGCTGAAAATACCACGGCTTGGGTCAGGTGCACCTTAGTCTTCAGAGACATCTTTGCTCTTCAGCACTTCAAAGACGTCTTCTGCAGCTATCTGCACAGTGCAATGCGTTGTCTGATTTTCTGACTGCTGCTTCCATGGGTGCTGATTGTGGATCTAAGTAAAATAAAATCCTTGGCAACTTCAATCTTTTCTCCATTTATTGTGATGTTGTCTACTGGTCCAGTTGTGATGATTTTTGTTTTCTTTATGTTAAGAAGTGATCCATACCAAAGACTACAGTCTTTGATCTTCATCAGTAAGTGCTTTAAGTCTTCTTCACTTTCAGGAAGCAAGGTTGTGATGTTTGCATATCACAGGTTCTTAATGAGTCTTTCTCCAATCCTAATGCCATGTTCTTCTTCATACCATACACAGGATGTACTTAAGCCGTCTGAAATTGCTGGTATTCAACCACTCCTGCCTTAAATGCCAACTCCCATGGCTCATTTTCTGAATAAATGTAAAGTCGAAGAACACTCTCTAGGGGTCAGTCAGTGAAGAAAGTCTGCAGATAAGTTACAGAAAGTCAAAATAAGAATTTGATTCATTCACAGAGCTCCCATCTTAAACATGAAATGAACTGTTCTCGTCAGAAAGAAAATCTTTGGTGATGTACCCAGACAGCTTAACCAGCACCTCACCATCTTTGGCCGTTTATGATCCCATCAGAAGAGCGGGACAAGATGATGGGCAATACCTCCATGAAAGGAAGGTGGCACAGAGTTGCATGTGCACCCTGGACGACAGAAGACAGTGGCTCCTGGAGTGGCTACCCTCTTCATGGAGGTACGGTCAGTGGACAGCTGGTGCTGAGGACAAGAGGGTGAGCCCACAGGCTGGACTTCCCGTTTCCTCATATTTAACGCTGGGACAGAAATGACACCTGAGCTGGACTGAAGTGAACGCTCCTAGGAGGTAGGCTCCACGGTTCGTGCTGCAGTCACGTGTTCAGAGGTCAAGAGTGACCTTCCCCTACAAGGAGCCCCAGGTGCCCCTCTGAGGGAGTTGTAATTTTAG